ATTTATATTTTTTTAAAAGTTTCAATTGGCGTTTACATACGTACCACGCAATTCCTATGTATTTATAAATCTAAGCCCAAGCTTTATTTTTTATATTTATACTATTCAAATCTTTTATATCACCTCAAAAATACCTCTACCTTAACATTTTTAAAATGAAATACATCCTTTCATTGATAGTTAGGGGCATGTATGTAAAAATTGCAGTTTAAGTGTTAGATATGTAAATACCTAGGAATTGAGGGGTATATATGTAAATCGTCCAAAATTTTAAATCGATAAGGACGGTAAATAACAGTTCCGTCCTGATCGCCGATGAATTTGAGAATGGAACTCTTAACCGACACGTGTCGGTATTCAAATAGCATACCGGTAAAGGCGGAGAGCAAGTGGCAGACCGGTAACGACAATAGCTCAATAACCCTTCGTATACGCGGGACATTAAACTATATTAAAAAAATGAGAAAGGAAAAATAAAGACCATTTACATACATACAACCCAATTTCTTCTATATTTACACATCTAACCCCTAAATTAATTTACCTTTTATATTTATATCAACTTAATTTTTCACATCACAACAAAAACCTCATTATTTTTTAGCTTTTTAAGAAGTGAAATGCATATTTTCATGCATAGTTAAAGCAGCAAATTTGTACAAAATTGAACTTTATGTGTTAAATATGTATAAAATTGAGAGGCGTGTCTATAAAACTTCAAAAAAAAAAAAGAAAAAAAGAAGAACAAATGAATTATTCTATAACTTCATTTATCTCATTTATCAAAACAAAAACATCACAAAAACTCATTAACGACTCTAGCAATAACACATGTTATAACTAACATGGTTGATGCACATCATTGACATCAAGAAAGATGTTCATTGTTGCTAACAAAATCATAGCCCATTGTCATCAATATGATTAATGCTCATCATGCAATGTTAATGGCCACCCGAATGTTGACGAACATCAAAACTTATTGTTGCCAATAAGTTCGACTCATATTGTTATCATTAACATTGACTTTCATTTTCGCCAAATAATTAACCGACTATTATAGATGCTGATGTTAATGTCTATTGTCAAAGATAAGTTATGTGCTTATTATTGACACAAACACTGGTGCTCATCGTGTCACCAACAACATTGATGCATGTCCGTTGATATCAACAACTAGCTTATTGTGGCCAAGATCACTAATATTGAACATGGACACCAAAGGAGCACATGGTATCACTAATAAGACTAACACACATCATTGACATTAACACAACTCCCTTTATCACTGATAAAGTTGATTCTTATCGTCACCAACATTAGCGCCCACTATCGTCAAGAAATTCAACATATGTTATTGACACTACTTTTGACAATCACCATCAAAACAAAGATTAAACTCATACTCTATAGTAATGATGATGCTTATTCTCTTGGTTATCAATTTATTGTTCTACGTGATGAATGATTGAGCACATCACCAAAAATCTATTTTTGATATTTTAATTACTTTTTAAGGTTATTTATACTTTTATCATTAAAGTAATACTATATAGTTCATTCATATTCTATTGCATCAATATATTTTTTAATTATGAGGAAAAATATCATAAATATTTTATAACTCTCACTGGTGGGATAATTTCAACTTTGTCAAACCCATTGATTTTTCTCCTCAAAATTTTTGCCAAAAAAAATTCTTCTTACATTTATGTCATATTGTTGATTTATCTTATCTGTGTATGCATGTGCGTAAAACAATCACAGACACACATGCATACACTTGCTTACACATGTGTGCATAGCAATGGCTAATTGGTCAATTTTTATATTCTTTTGAAAGTTTAGTTTATTTGTCCTCAATTATGAGAATAATTTTAGAAGTGTCCACCACTTACTCTAACATAATAGTCTAGTGTATTAAAATCAAATTATTACAAGACAATCTGTTACATTTTCAATAAGCTTTGATAAGTCATAAAAAATTTTTCATCATTCGTCATGAATCTTGAGCCACTGCATGAAGCTCGATGTAAATTTTTAACATGAAACGTTCAAACTTCAATTAAAAATCATCCAAAACTCCGATTTCATCAAACTTACTGTCAAACTAACAGGCACGACGAGATGGACCCAATGTAGCAAATTTGGTCCAATCTAAGTTAAATCAAGCCCAGATTGAGCTGTTAAATTACTTTTGGAAGTTTTCGATACATAATTGGAAGATCAAACATATTTCAAATCTAACAAGCTTATAGTTAAATCAAGCATCTAGGCAAAATGATTGATCTAACGAGCCCAAATTGCTCAATTTTGACATTATTAAGCACTAAAATATTCAGTGAATGTCGTCCTATTGAGGTAATTTTTTCGAGTCATCCGATGGAATGATCTGATTTCCCTCCTTATTTGCATAGGTGCCTCTCATACTTTATAAATAGAACCCTACTCCTTTTTT